CTTTTCCACCTCTGCCATATCTTGGATTCAGAGCTATCTATCTAATAGAATTCATAGGGTTTTCTTTCATGGAACCTTCTCTAATGTCAAACATGTAAAGTGTGGTGTAGGCCCTCTACTCTTTTCTATTTTTACCAATGACCTGCCACCGGCATTAAACAAAGCATTTGTGTCCATGTAGGCTGATGATTCAACCATATACACGTCATCAACCACAGCTAATGAAGTCACTGAAACCCTTAACAAAGACTTGCAGTCAGTTTTGGAATGGGTGGCCGGCTGTGGTGAAAGTAAGGCGAAACGGTCCGGTACTGCATCCAGGTAAAATAAATAGTGAGGGTACGCCTACCGGTAAAACGTGAGCCTATCACAATTAATACAACATGACTAAAAAACTATAGGCTATTACAGCATTATTTAACATTATTGCATGTCAGCCCGCATGGAAACCGGGTGGTGTACTCTCCAAATTGTGCTGTGGGTTTGAGCAGAACACTTAAGTTTTGTCAAGGCGCAGATGAGTGGCTGAGACCGAGGTGCGCGTGGACAACAGTGGATGCATCAATTCAGGCTACATGTGTAGGCCTAATTACAATCACAGAATTTCATTACACTACACGTAGGTGTTTTGTAACTGATGTCTCTTTCCATTCATCAAATTGCGGTTGCACAGCGCATTGTTTGGGTTTGCCTACAGGAGCGCCTTTGTTAAGTGATTATTTGACAATCAGATGAAAACATCATGACTAGTTGTGTCCATAAGGCTTGGGGAGCTAAGCTTTCCCTAAAGTAAATGTAGTTACATTGCCAAAATTATATATCATAATTAGTCTATACAGATTTTTTTTTATCACTCAAAATAGGCTACTACACCAGAAAGCATGATTTGGCCATTAGCTTCTTTAAAAAAAAGCTGTGGATTGTTTTAAATTGCATAGCCTACAGTCTGAAGGGCCCGCAATTTGGGCCGCGCGCAAATACCAAATATATGACAGTTGCGACTGTCAGTGAAAAGCAGAGACCCAGCCAGGCATATCGCAATATTTAGAAATACAATCGTGGAAAAACTGTTTGGAAACCAAATGGCTATTGCTGTAAAGAGATGACAATGAAAAGACTCCAATCTGTCTTTTAGTTATCAAAATTAATAACTTAATTGAGCGAACAGTAGCCTATCTTATTGGCACCAGCGAAGAACATCGGCCATATCCCCGGTGAAGGTGCATATTCACTGTCTTTATCATTGGGTCACTGCCACTTTTGTTTGTTTTTGGACAATAATTTCCTCCTCCAGGTTAGATGGACGTCATATTGTATTTGTGTCTCCCCTTTTCGTAGGCCGATTATATGGATCAGATAACATCGTTTTTTATTGATCTGTTTGTCAGTGTCAGTAGAGTATGCTACCCTGTAATTTTTGTGCCATTAAAAAAAATGTGCGCGCGGACTTGGGTGTCCCATACCGGTAAGAAATTAAATCTACTTTCACACCTGGTGGCCAGTAATAAACTGGTCCTGAACATCTCTAAAACTAAAAGCATTGTATTTGGTACAAATCTATGTTATAGACCTCAGCTGAATCTGGTAATAAATGGTGTGGCTGTTGAACAAGTTGAGGAGACTAAATTACTTGGTGTTACCTTAGATTGTAAACTATCATAGTCAAAACATATAGATTCAATGGTTGTAAAGATAATGAGAGGTCTGTCCATAATAAAGAAATGCTCTGCTTTTTTGACACCACACTCCACAAAGCAAGTCCTGCAGGCTCTAGTTTGATCTTATCTTGATTGTTGTCAAGTCATATGGTCAAGTGCTGTAAAGAAAGACCTAGTTAAGCTGCAGCTGGCCCAGAACAGAGCTGCACATCTTGCTATTCATTGTAATCAGAGGGCTAATATTAATACTATGCATGCCAGTCTCTCTTGTCTAAGAGTTGAGGAAAGACTAACTGCATCACTTCTTGTTTTTAAAAGAAAAATTAATGTGTTGGAAATACAAAATTGTTTGCATAGTGAACTTCCACAAAGAACTGACACACACACTTACCCCACCAGACATGCCACCAGGGGTCTTTTCACAGTCCCCAGGTCCAGAACAAATTCAAGGAAATGTACAGTATTATACTGAGTGCATGGAACTCCCTTCCATCTCAAATAGCGCAAGTGAACAGCAAACCTGTATGCACTCACTAACTGTAAGTCGCTCTGGATAAGAGCTTCTGCTAAATGACTAATATGTAAATGTAAAAAACAAATAAAGCAACACCTCATGGCACAACACCTCTCCCCCATGTGACCTACTTGTTGTGTGTATGTACTGACATGTATGTGTAACTGATATATGCACACACACTACTACTAAGTGTTTTGTCTTTTTTCGTCATGTGTCCGCAGTAAGACTAACTGTCGCCATTGGCGTCGGCTAATGGGGATCCTAATAAATCAAATCAAATCAAAAACCCATACACAGTGAGGTGATTGAACATTGCCAGGAAATAAAAAGAAAGTATTTGAATTGTTGGGCCTAAAAGTAGCAGTATCTATTTTTAAGGCCTTGACAGTCACATGCCAAGCAGCTAACAGGACAGGAAAGGATCTTATAATCCTCCCTCAACAAGGAAGTGGAAATCTCCATGTTATTAGTTCACAGCCTCACAGGGTGTCCAATGAATTTTACACAAGTGCTAAACGACTCTGAGTCACTGAACCCCTGACATATCTCATTAAGGGCACTGCCTTCTTCTCTGTATCAATAAAGCCAGTCCTGTGGTGCATGGATCAATTGGTTATTGATAATGGAGGTCAATGTTAGGCATTAATTCAAAGGCACGTGCTAGCAGCGGTTGTGTGGGGGAGAGTGCCTCTTCCTAAACTGTGACATAGGTCCTTTAAAGCTGCAATCACATGTTAATTGGCTTGGCAGGCCTGCCCTCACCCTCTGTATTCACAAGGCAATTCGCAAGGAGATTGGGATCTGTATGTTCACACACACACATGCACATAGGTGATTGTAACACCTCTACACCGTGCACTATACACAGAGCATTACCCTTAAGCTCAGTTATATTTTCATACAACACTGTTATATAATACATGTATAGCCTACCCTCCCTTTCTCACAACATGACATTCGTACATTGCTCCTGTAAGTCGCTCTGGATAAGAGCGTCTGCTAAATGACTAAAATGTAAAATGTAAAAATGTACATCTTTACTCTCATAACACTCCCTGACAGGCCCTGACACTGATACAAAACTGCTCACATCAAACCATGGTCATTGGGTCAATATTTACATATTCAAACAGGACATGGTTGTAAAAGCGCGCTCATTATTAATAGGTTTAACAGTTACATGAGCGCACGTGCACTGTTTTCGTCACCTGTCGTGCGCGACAACATAATTCCTATTTAGGTTGGGTGATGTAGAAATACACTTGATTTATTACCTCATTCTTACATAAGGCTATTTCCAACACACACACATGCGATAACAATCAATATGTAGACACAATCACAGGGGGAAATGCATAGCCTACCTAACGCGCTTTCTGGATAGGCTACCGACAGATTTAGTGACGACCGGACAAGGTGCGCTCTAAACAAATTCTGTAATAAGTAGATCTTGATCCTAAATCTTAAACACGAAGATATATCCTACCAATTTACCTTTTTGTACTTTTGTCCTTTTGGTTGAATTGTCGCACAATCCATTATCCCCTCCGGTTTATTTATAGGCTATATTATCAAAATCTAAACATGCTCTAAATAACATAAACATTCTGCATAACCGCAATCAATAGCCTACAATCACACGTTTTGGCTAATGTCCCAAGCAAAGCTATAACTAAAATGCCTATCGGCTGTTAGAACAGGCAGGCTATGGACTCGGCTAACGCAAGCGTTATCTAACACTGGATACGCTCATACATTGATTGATCAGCAGCCTCACAAATGAATCCCTGATTTTCCTTACCTCCACTGAAGGCCCAAAGCAACGCCGTGAAAATAAAAACTTCCATAGGATCTGAATATAAAGGACTTAAAGAAAAGGAAATAATCTTGAAATAATAATGCTGCGACCTTATTCTCAAGTCGAGCGAGCGAGGACTCGCTAAGGAGGAGCTGAGAGGCGCGTGTGCTTGGGCCAGTCGATGCAGGAGAACAGGTCGGGAGGATGATGCCCCGTCAAGGCGTAACAACTAACGCGGTGATAACGAGAGGATTGCTCGCTCCAAGCTGAGTTGACCACATCTGACCGGAGGTAACGCCAATTCTCTGCTGTTCAATCTCATGGCTCATCAGCACATTTGTATTACAACACATAACCCGCCATGCTATAGGCATGCATGCTTTACGTGAAGAGGGGGAAGGGAGATACATTCGTTTTTATTTTGACAAGGAGTGTTCATTTCAATGATGTGTTATTATAGGAGTGTCTAGCACAATTAACACATTTAGAGTTGATGACATGTAATGTCCATGTAATGCTCAGCCTATTGGGCATAGCATTTTGTCCACATCTTTGCCTGTGTTTTCCGACTTTTGGATGGGGCACATTATACCTCTGGGCTTCATTACCAATTCTATAATTCTATTCTAATCAATTTCCCAGCATTAAGGATAGGAACGCAGTCATTACAGCAATGCAGCACTATTTGGTGCCTCTTCACTCAGTAATTCCAGTGTGCTAGCTAGTACTTCGAGGCAGTGGTTGTGAAGGACCCTGTGCTCTCTCCTGAATGATAAGCCTCTGACAGAGCAATCTGTTCAGCCACAGGCTCAGCACTGCAACTATGTGGGGCATAAACAGGGGCCCAATGAATAAAACCACCAGATCTGAAATACTTATTTGCCGTAATATGTTGTTTCTGAGTATATTTATATATAAAAGAGTCTAGATTTGTTAGAGCGGAACTGTGTTCTCTGAAAGTAGCCTACTGTGTGATTGCAGATCCGGAATTCTTTAACGATCAACATGAGTGGTGAGAAAATGACCTTTTTGTTTAATTTAATACTGTTTCATTCTTTTGCAGACAAAAACAGGACAGTTTATGATACAGTGTCATCATGACACACATTCACAAACAGTATGACATTAATATATTTACATGGCAGAGCTACACAAAATAAGTAAACAGCTAGATGGAAAAGGCTTCAGTTGTTCTCTTGATGTAAGTGTGTTGGTGCATGATGTCATCTGAGCTTTGGGACAGGGCGGGGCATGCGATTGGGCTGGTTTGGTCCGATGTATTTCAAAGGAATGTATTTAGGCTTTTCAATCACCTCCAACCCCAGGAAGGGCTGCAAGGCTCGCGGCACTAACACTGTCCCTTCCTGAAAATGAACATGTGAGTGAGATATAGAGTAACAAAGATACATTTCATGTTATCAGAGACACTTATTTTCATGATGGGTGAATATATTCATCAAAGTATTGGGAATACAGTAGGTGTTCTCTCTTACCTTGGTCTGATGAGTCTCCAGTATAGCAATGATAGTACGGGGAATAGCACATGCTGTGGCATTCACCTAGAGCAGGACGCAAATAATGGTGGTTATTATAACCTTCAAACACTTAGAAAATGGTTCATCTGTTTTTGTATACTGAAATACTGAATCTCACAACATAAAGAATGTACCCTTCCTGGTCTCACCGTATGAGCATAGTGTAGGCTACCATCCTCCCCCTCATATAGGATATTGAGGCGTCTGCTTTGGTAGTCTGTACAGTTAGATCCGCTGGAGATCTAATGCAAGCCAATGAAGAAACAAAAACATCAAGCCTGGATAACAAAACCGACACCAGTGCTCTGACTTTGAGAGCAATAATGGGAAATTATTTTCAAACAAAAAAATCATCCATCCAGGATATGATTAACCAATCATAGTAGTACCATCATGCCTACCTCGCCATAGCTGTCCCTCCCTGGCATCCAGGCCTCAATATCGTACTTCCTGTGTGCTGGGCGACCTAGCTCCTGGGTGGGCATGTCCAGTACTCTACAGGTACAGAGAGCGCAGCGGTTGGAGGAACACTCTTGCTAGGGTTTAACGAATAAAATCAATACTGTGTGGGAGTATTTGCACAAACAATATATTTATATGTAAATATATGGCTATGGTGTGTACAAATGGCAAAATACACTGTACAGTTTGACTCAAAGCATAAGTTATGCATCTATCCAGCCACATTGAGTGTATGCAGAGAGCCAGAGAGGAGCACTGACCTATAGTGGAGCTCCAGGGAGGAGAAGATCTCCTTCTGCAGGGACAGGAACTCCTCCAGCATCTGAGAGCTCTCCTCCCCTGTCTCATCTGCAGTCACACCAAACATCTCCACCTGGACAGACACACCAGCAGAGGATGAGAACACAAGGGTACTTTAACACCATGCATCAAATATGGCGGACGACTTGGTCCTTGGTTGATTCTAAAAGATTTGGCTTTGTTTCCCGTTACCTTGCTGAAGTGATGTACTCTGTAAAGGCCCCAAGTCTCTCTGCCTGTGTCCGTCTCAGCCCTGTAACATGTGCTACTGCACACAGACCTACAATGGAAAAATCTGTCAATTTATCTCTAATAAAAACACATTTAGAGGGCACTTGTATATATGTTACACTGGGTTGTCAGCAAACCAAACCTACAGTATAAGAAATAAAGTGCCTCACCTGACAGGAAGGTCCTTCCAGTTAACAGCATGGTCCATAAAATAACCTAGAAGTTAAAAAGACACTTTCTTGTTACAGCGACAACGGCACACTAGTATATCACTACTAATCATGAAGGTTTTTCCATGGCCTGTCCATTCCCAACCACACAGGTGACCTTACCCCACGACCTCCCCATCACAGCCTAACTCATACATGGCCTCACCTGCTACGCCCACCTCCCCCGTGCCAGCCAGGTTGAGGTCAGGGAAGCAGGTGGGGTCCAGAGAGTACACCTGAGACCTGTGGGCATGGGGCTGCATTCCACAACCCTCCTGTATGTATGAGCGAGGAAGACGGAGATAGAGTGAGAGAGAGTCCAGAGAAAGAAAGAGAGAAAACATGTCAGTTTGGAGAAATGTTACTTGTGAAAACTGGCTCACTACTAGGTACACACATCACACCTTCATCTCTGAATGCTTCACTCTCTTTTTCCAGTTTGAATATTGTTATGCATGCATGTCTGCAGTGCATACTGTAGTGTAAATGAAGGATAGAATCAGATACTCACAAATACAGCCCCCTTCAGCATGTCTGGCACAACCATGGGTATAAACCCCTGAGAGATAAGGAAAAAAACGGATTTGCTTTCAAAGTAGGGAGACATATCTTCATCACGGCTACAGTTTTTATGATGTATATAGTGCTATTTCTATAGTTTTTTTATTTATTACAATTTTTATTATTTTATTTCACTTAGTCCTGCATGTTGGAGCTCAGAGCCTAAGATGTTCACTGTACCCTGCATTCACACCTGCAACCCTGTATATGTTACTATTAAACACTCAGAATCTGAATCTAAAATGATAATCACACATTTTGCAGATATATTCAGCCATTCTCCCTAATAACACAGTCAAACAGAGGGTATCTTTACACACCCGCTGCTGCAGTGTTTCCAGGGCGAAGTTCTGTAGAGCAGACTGGAGTCTGGCCCCTGCTCCCCTTAGATAGTATGACCTATGACCTGAGACATGGGCAAGACGCCTGCAGAGAGAAGATCAGAGTAAATCACAAGAGAGGGTGTAATGGGAATATTTAAGATGACTAAAGTTCATAATTAATTTAGACAATGTTTAGCATACTTTTGAGTTTCTGTAATACACATGATATACAGTGTTCTATTTGTTACACTCAAGGTGCGGGTTGATGGTCACTAAGCTTGCAGCTGAATGTTATGAATGACTTGATACTGATTGATGACGTTAGACTGGAGGTACAAGGACACTGATTATTATTGTATTCTGTGAAACAGTGTGATTCTGTAGCACCTGACAAAGTCTCTGCCTTTTGTTTTGACTTCCTACAAGCCTCTCAGGCTGGTGTTTACAGAACAGTTGTCTGCTGATTAGGATATAAGGACCTTCTCAGAGCAGGCCAGTTAGACATTTTTTGTGCTGGAGGTGTCTACCTCCTGCAACTTGTAATAAACCGGATAGATTTTTTATTGACTTTACCAACGACTGCTCTCCTTTTTGTTCACCTGGAAATTAAGTAAAAAAAGAAAAAAATTGAAAAGATTGTTAATCTGAAAACCTAACAAAGACCCTGGCCACCTGCTGTAGACATTTTTTTTATTCTAGACGAAGAAAGAACTCATGCAATATTAAGCACCCATTTATTAATGACAAGCCCAAGGCTACATATTGTTAACAACACCAGAGGATAACGCTGGTGAGCCCCTGTTGTTTGGCTGCACTGTTGATGAAGTTTATTTATGTGTTTACCGGTAGGCCTTTGGGACTGGAGGATCAACTGATCAGAATGAACAGAGGGGGGTATTGAGAGGAACAATGAGAGAGAGAGAGAGAAAGAAGAAAATGAGATATAAAGAGAAACGTATGAAAGAGTAAGCAGAGTGACATGAAGAGAGAGGGAAATGGAGAGAGAGAGGAGGAAGAGAGAACGAAAGCCAGACAGGATACCAGACCAGTGTGTCTAACCTCTGTCTGATAAGACCAAGCTCCTCCCCGATCTCTAGGTGTCCCCTGGGTTTGAAGTCAAACTCTGATGAAAAAGGTCAGAGACAACTGCATATCAAATACTGCCCTACTGTGTACGTCTATGAGATCATAAGGACATGTAATTGTATTGTTCCGCCTCCTCACCTGGTTTCTGTCCAACCAGCTCCACCACTCTCGCTTGGCTCTCATCTCCAATTGGCTGAAAGAGGGAGATGGTAAGTTTGAAAATCAAACTGTAGTTCCAAACTATAGATTTTTTCAGGTATGCAAAAATTGTCTTCCTATAGTTGAAGGTCTCTATGCATAGGTCGCTCTCAGAATGATTCTCTAACAGATTTTTGCCTCACACCTGTGTGTGTGTGTATTCTCACCACATCGGGGTGTGTGGTGTTGGGTAGCCTCAGGGCTCGGCCGTAGTGCTCCTCCTCCAGCTCACTCTCTCGGGGGTAAAGCCGGCTCAGCCGGTGGCGGATCTCTCGACCCTCCTTCGTAGCCTCCTTGAACTCAGGAATCTGAAGAAGATAAGGGACTACTTACTCCACAAGGGTATTCTTTCTGTTCAGCCTTGATGTTAAGTGAAAATACCATAAGGCCACAGCAGGCAAGGCCGAACTTACATTAGCTAGGGCTTTCTTGTCATTCTGATCCTGTGAAGAGAAGGGAAATGTTGATCACAATAATCCCACAAAATAATATCTCATCATAACATGAAAACAATGTTTCGAAGCACAGGTATTATCATTGTCAATATATTAACTGACCACAAGAGTCCGAACTCTGTGACTGATCACTTTCTTTTGCTCCTCCAGCTGTGAGATTTCCTTGCGCACCACCTCAAGTTGCTGCCAAACACACACCTGCAACACACACTTACATCAGAAACACACTCCTGACGTAAGCCTACACAATATATATATAAGACCAGGCAATGTGCTTCATACAAATACAGTAGGCTACACTGCCACATCCAGGGAGGCTGTATTCATCTGCATGTACTTCAAGGCAAATGACAGATACAGCACATGAAAGCACAGAGGCAATCTCTCTTGCACATCAAATACACTTCAATGACTCGATGGTCAAGAGAGCACGCAAAGTGCATGTAACTAAAGTTACATCTACAATATTCAACATGGTGTGGTGAGATGGGATATACAGAAAAGCTTACAATCTCCCTGACATCTGCTCCCCGTAGATCCCCTTTCCGAGTCTCCACATTGGCAATGACTTTGTCAGTGTCCTCGCACACAAGTCTCATGTCCAAGTCTGGCTTGTCACTGTAGCCCTCGCGGACATGTTCGTACAGACTACTTCGCACCTCATGTGTGGCGCGGCTCGGGGTAAATACTTTCGTTCCCTGCCTTGCAAAGTGCCTTGAAACCGGTTTTAAGACATTCAATGCACCAAGCCGGACAACCATGCCAATGCAAGTCGCCATGTTTCAAAGCGGAAGTAGGTCTGTAAATAGAGGCGGAACCGAATAAGACAACCAATTAAATTACTGGACCTGAAAATGTTCTGAACAAAATTTGTAACAAATGTAATGTACTGACTGTGTGTTTAGAAAGTAGAAAACATAAAATATCGCCTAAATTTGCTTTAGTTATAAAATAAGAGCACGAGTGAGTCCCTAAAAAAACGTCACATCCGTGCACCGGTTCAAAGGCTAGCCAATGAAACTAGCGGAACCATTGCATTGCGGTAATGCGGTTCAGACAGGGGAACAAGTGAATTGTGCGGCCGAAAACAGTCGGGCAGGTCTCTGGGGCAATAAAACCAGTATTTTATATTTTTAACATCCGTAATGCGTTTGAGATGTTTGTATTTTATGCCATGATTGACTAATTCCCCGGATAAGACAGAAAGGGGTGCTTTGGCGGATGCTTTTTTAGAGAGCTGCGTTCAGCAGTTGCTAACTAACGTTAGCTAGCCGCCGCCGGGTGGTCTGTTGTTATAGCTTGCATGGTGGTTCTGAGAACCATGAGCCGTGCTGCACCCCACACTGGAGGCCGTACTCACTCAGACCAGGACAGGCAAGGCGGATCGGAGGGTGGGACACACGGATGGCAACTGTCGGCTTCCCTTATTGACTGACTACAGACAATCGGGCCCAAAGGTGAAGCTACTAACTGTCTGGCCCCTGGTTTCATCCACACAATCAGAGCCCAGGACAGGACCACCAAGTAGGGTAGTCTCCCTTTAATAAAGGTAACGTCAACAATATTGTTGTCATTTTGTGTCACTATTCCTGAATGTACCCCGTTGATTTTCTCAATAAGCGAGAGGACTAGGGAATGGTGCCTTTGAGAGCTTTGCAAGACATTCATTCATTCAGCCTGTAGTTTAGAGTTGAATGCGATTCATAAAGGGCTTTGAAGTTGTGCTTGACCATGACCCTCTAATTACTCTTAGATAGATTCCAAAGATCTATCTACATCAAATCGTAATTATAACTGGCCTCCATCTTGTGTATCTGGCTCCTTGACAGAAATAATGTTTTTTGTTGTTAAAGGTTCCTGATATTCCTGTGTATCTATGTCAACTCTTGACTATCTTCAGATGAGTGCAGTCCGTGGAGGAACAATCACTTGGCGGCCACAGCCCTGGCAGGACGGCGACGGTGGGGGCGGGGAGCCTCTCTCGGACAGCGACTCCGAAGAAGAGGACTTTCCCGACGACAGCACCACTCCTTTAGGAGACTACATCACACATGGTATGGTGGAATGGGAACGTCCAAATGAATGCATCAGTGATGTTACACAGAGAGCTCATCATGTGCTGCCTATATCATATAAGTGTCTATCTCTGTACCTCTTTCTATCTCCTCACTCTTTACTTTTTCTCTCCCTCAGGGTTGAAGCAGCTACTGGACGCTCAGCAGCTGTGTGACGTCACTCTGTTAGTGGAGGGGAAGAGGTTTATGTGTCACAGGTGGGGTCAATGACCTTCTCTCAATTCTATTGTACTACAGACATCCAAACAGTGCATGTTGTTACACACAAAGGAATATGTTACACATACTCGAATGCCTACTGCAGTTTCAGTACTCCAGTCTCCTGCAGTTCGTTGTAGTCACACCCTATCTCAGCCTTATGTGAATGACGTCATGCTTCTGCCTCTCTTCAGAGTCCTCTTGGCAGCGGTCAGCCCGTATTTCCGTGCCATGTTCACTAGCCCGTTGGTGGAGTCCCGCCTCACTGAGATCCGATTGGAGGAGGTGACGCCGTCAGTCATGGAGACTGTCATCCAGTTCGTCTACACTGGGGAGGCAGGGCTCTGCCTGGACACGGCCGAGGACCTGTTTGTGGCGGCCAATCGGCTTCAAGTGATGCCCCTGCAGGATCTGTGCTCCAGGTAACTATATAGTCAGTGCTGCCTGACACAGATACGTTGTATTTTCCCCGGTCCAGAATGCTGCTCATACTCCTAAGCCTATGCAGTTCAGTAACTGCCACAGAGTTTTGATAGCATTTTAAAAAGCCAGCTTTCTTTTACTGTCTGGTTTTCTATCCTCAAACATCTGTGTGTGTCCATAGGTTCCTGTTTGAACACCTGTCTGTGGACAACTGCCTGGGCATGTACTCTCTGGCCCGCTCCCACCATGACCAGCTGCTCCTGAGGGCCTCTCTGAGGCTGGTGGCCCAGCACTTCCCCCGCGTGGCCCGCCAGAAGGACTTCCTGCTGCTGGACCCAGGCACCCTGGGCAGCCTTCTGGGCTCCGACCGCCTGGGCGTAGACTCTGAGGCAGAGGTGTATGACGCGGCGCGCCGCTGGGCCGAGCACCAGCCCCTGGACCGCTACAGCCACATGCCGGCCCTGCTCCACCACCTCCGCCCCGGCCTGCTATCCCTGGAGGAGAGCCGGCGGCTGAGCCAGGAGCTGGGCCCTGCGTCGGCCGGGGAGGGCCTGGGGGGCCCGCTGAGGCCCCGGGAAGGCATGTTCGAGAAGAAGATAGTGTGTGTGGACCTGAAGCCACGGGAGGACGAGTCGCTGAACGAGAGGGACTTCACGGTGGACTGCTTCGACCCACGCACAGGAAAATGGGAGAAGCTGGCTGCCCTGGGCTCTCTGCTGTGCCCAGGTTGCACGGCCATTGGGGGGCGGCTGTTCGTAGCGGGGGGCATCCTGCGGGGGGGCACGGTGTCCACGGAGGTCCATGAGTATGACTCTGTGTTGGATCGCTGGCTGGAGCGGTCGCCCATGGTGTCGCCCCGGGCCATGCTGGGTCTGCTGGGCTGTGGGGAGTCACTCTATGCCCTGGGGGGCTGCAACAGAGGAGCCATGCTGGACTCCTGTGAGATCCTGGACCTGGCCTCTCTCCAGTGGGGCCCCGGGCCCCGTCTGCCCCTGCCACTGCGCTCATTTGCCTGTGCCGCCCTGCGCGGCCGCATCTACCTGCTGGGTGGCACCACGCTGGAGCAGAACCGGGCGGTGGTGCACGCTGGCGTGCTCATCTACCACACCCTGACTGACTCGTGGACCCGCGTGGGACTGGACTCTGGCGCCACCTGCCTGGCCGGAGGGGTGGCAGTGCGGGGAGGGGTCTGTGCCATTGGAGGTTACATGAGGGACGCCACGAAGTTCATAGATGGGAACTACACCCATCTGGAACCTCTGGACGCCACGGGGCGAGTGCTGTTCTTCAGGGAGGGCCGGGGCTCAGGGGTGGAGCGGGAGGTGACAGGGGCGGTGGTGGCGGAGAGGGGCGGGGGCGGGGGGAGTGACCGAGCCCCCAGTCCGGTGGTTTTCCCGGGGCTGCCCAGAAGGATCGCTGCCGGGGGCGTGGCCAGGTGGAAACGCAGGATATACGTGCTGGGCGGGGAGAACGGCTCCCGTTTCTATGACAGTGTGTACTGTTGGAAGCCTGGCTGGCGCAGCTGGGTCCAGAGACGGGAGAAACTACCTGGAGACACAGGGGGAGTCAGCCAGTTCGGCTGTACCACCCTCAAGTTCCCCAAGAAACACATCCTGTCCCGGCTGAGACTGGCTCGGGAGGACTGCAAGCCTGATGATGACGACGACTAGCCACATTAGGACTAATAAGCTGTGACTAAGACCAGCATTCATGGGGTTTCAATAATGAAATGAAATGTTATCAACTTTTAACCCTTGAGACAGTGGGGGGGAAGGGGACTTGCATCTGAATGTAACCACCGTATGCCACAACAACACTCAAGTTTGAATGCATTTAAATGGTTTGAAACTTGTCTGCCTGTTGAACACATCCTCAGCCTTTGCCACCTTCTGTAGGATTTTAACGCCTGCATAGGCCTATGTTGTGAATGACTGGCTGTGAATGTTTGGCAGGGTTAAAATGTGTTTATTGAAATTTGATGAAGTGTTTTTGTTACATTTTTTATTTCTGCCTTTTCTATTCCAGACTTTCTGAAATTCACCAAAGGATCCCACTTTTATGTAACTTTAGTCTTTCACGCTTCAGTGATTCCAGGCCATGTTCATTAGGCACCGAACGGAAGAAAATTAACTAAAACCGGGAAGGACTACCTACCTTGTCCAATAACCTAAACATTCATTTTCATTTTCCGTTGCAACATGTTTTGTAATGTTTTTTTAATGCTCTAATAAACATGACCTAGATTTCAGTCACTTGTTATTTTTGGTAAGTTTCTCTTCATCGCTATTCACCCTTATCCTCCTCCAATCAGATATAGTGTTATGCTATCGATTGAATTTCCAGATGCATGGGTTAATTACTTATAAGACCAAGAGCAGGCAGATCCCGCAGAATACCTGACACCTGACTATTTGGTTTTTAGACTAACAAGTTTTATTTAGGATTTTAGTTGAACGCCCCTTTGCTCAATAGAGCTGTGTGAAGATATTCTGAGTGCAAATGTGTATGTGTGTTGGGGCGTGAACGTTGGATTATGGTATGTAACAACAGGGGGCCCCCCCATACCTCACACCCCTTAAGAGAAACATCACCTCTCTGATGTAATCTGATTTATGTTTTTGAACTGTCATCAAATTGATAATTTGATGACAGTTATGCTGTCAAATGATTAAAGGAATATTTGTTTAAAATTTTTGGGATTATTCTCCTGTTTTCCAATTTTCCTCTGGGCTACGACAACCGGTCCATCTGTCCTTGTGTCCGTTTGTCCTTCTGTCATTTTATGTATGTTACTAAAAGAGAAGAAATCATTAACCAGATTCACATTAGAATGGACGGTGTTGTAGTCACTCATGCACAAATCTCGTAGTCTCCCTCAACACATTTCCAGCAGGGTCTTTGTAGTGGTGGGGGTGAAACCATTGGACAGAGACCGATAGGACAGCGGATGTGGTCTTTGTTTGTGCTTTAGGCACATTTTGGGTCACGGTAAACCAAATGTTAAAACACCTGTAACATTGATTTAATTAATTAAGTTACCGATATAACATATAATTTGCACGTGGAAGAGAAAATCAAGTTTGTTTGACATGTTACGATAGAAAGTTGGACTGAACTAATGGAGTTTTTTTTTTACTAGAACTAAACCATGTGTGTAAGTGAACATTGAAGAGGCTAGGTGTTAATTATTACTGTCATTAATAAACTCCTGAATCAGCCTCTTTTCTGGCGACCAAAGGTCTTACTGGCCAACCACTCTGACCATTCTCTCTTCTCCTTCACTTGGCCTTTCACTTATGCCTTATCGGCCATTAGAATGTGAGCCCTCTATTTAATAGACACTTGTATTATCGTTATCTTTTGTTCCAAGTCTTGGACTGATATCCTTTGGTTTGACAGTATCACGGCTGTTGACGCCTTTCTTCCTTTTTGTTGAGAAATGGAGAATCCCTCGTCTGAAACCACATCGGAGAAGGCGACCATTAATAATCTATCTGATATCTTTGTCATCATCGGCTACTTCATTCTGGTCATTGGAGTGGGCGTCTGGGTTAGTAGTACACCTATCTGTATACCTGTCTACAGGTCTGTAGCCATAGTTTTGAATCTACATAGTTTTAAATTATACATGTATAATTTATCATAATGATGTCATTTCAAACTGGGTATTTGTATAGCTCATAACACTTATTGACATGTACAATACAGTAGAGTAGGCATATGTCATGAGGTAAACCACTGCTTAGGGCTTACATCCAGTAAATGTCCTGTCTTCCAGTCTATGTTTCGGACCAACCGTGGCACTGTGGGAGGCTACTTTTTGGCAGGACGGACCATGACATGGTGGCCAGTGAGTTCAACTTGATCTTTAACCTCTTTGACAACTCTTGTATTTTAACCCTTATTAACCTGTATTTTAACTAACCCTTTGGGACTGCTTCCACTAGTTTTTGCAGTCACCTTTCCTGTCTTGCCCAGTCCCATTGTATACAGTGGTTTGCGAAAGTATTCACCCCTCTTGGCATTTTTTGTTGCCTTACAACCTGGAATTAAAATTGTTTTTTTTTTTTGGGGGGGGTGGTTTGTATCATTTGATTTACACAACATGCCTACCACTTTGAAGATGCAAAATATGTTTTATTGTGAAACAAACAAGAAATAAGACAAAAAAACTGAAAAATTGAGCGCCCATAACTATTCACCCCCCCAAAGTCAATATTTTGTAGAGCCACCTTTTGCAGGAATGACAGCTGCAAGTCTCTTGGGGTGTGTCGCCACTGGGATTTTTGCCCATTCTTCAAGGCAAAACTGCTCCAGCTCCTTCAAGTTGGATGGGTTCCGCTGGTTTACAGCAATCTTTAAGTCATACCACAGATTCTCAATTTGATTGAGGTCTGGGCTTTGACTAGGCCATTCCAAGACATTTAAATGTTTCCCCTTAAACCACTCGAGTGTTGCTTTAGCAGTATGCTTAGGGTCATTGTCCTGCTGGAAGGTGAACCTCCGTCCCAGTCTCAAATCTCTGGAAGACTAAAACAGATTTCCCTCAAGAATTTCCCTGTATTTAGCGCCATCCATCATTCCTTCAATTCTGACCAGTTTCCCAGGACCCTGCCAGTGAAAATTATCCCCACAGCATGATGCTGCCACCATCATGCTTCACTGTGGGGATGGTGTTCTCGGGGTGATGAGAGGTGTTGGGTTTGCGCTAGACATAGGGTTTTCCTTGATGGCCAAAAAGCTCAATTTCTGTCTCATCTGACCAGAGTACCTTCTTCCATATGTTTGGGGAGTCTCCCACATGCCTTTTGGCGAACACCAAACGTGTTTTCTTATTTAAGCAATGGCTTTTTTCTGGCCACTCTTCCGTAAAGCCCAGCTCTGTGGAGTGTATGGCTTAAAGTGGTCCTATGGACAGATCCTCCAATCTCCGCTGTGGAGCTTTGCAGCTCCTTCAGGGTTATCTTTGGTCTCTTTGTTGCCTCTCTGATTAATGCCCTCCTTGCCTGGTCTGTGAGTTTTGGTGGGCGGCCCTCTCTTGGCAGGTTTGTTGTGGTGGCATATTCTTTCCATTTTTTAATAATGGATTTAATGGTGCTCCGTGGGATGTTCAAAGTTTCTGATATTTTTTTATAACCCAACCCTGATCTGTACTTCTCCACAACTTTGTCCCTGACCTGTTTGGAGAGCTCCTTGGTCTTCATGGTGCTGCTTGCTTGGTGGTGCCCCTTGCTTAGTGGTGTTGCAGACTCTGGGGCCTTTCAGAACAGGTGTATATATTGAGATCATGTGACACTTAAATTGCACACAGGTGGACTTTATTTAACTAATTATGTGACTTCTGAAGGTAATTGGTTGCACCAGGTCTTATTTAGGGGCTTCATAACAAAGGGGGTGAATACATATGCACGCACCACTTTTCCGTTATTTATTTTTTAGAATTTTTTGAACCAAGTTATTTTTTTAATTTCACTTCACCAATTTGGTCTATTTTGTGTATGTCCATTACATGAAATCCAAATAAAAATCAATTTAAATTACAGGTTGTAATGCAACAAAATAAGAAAAACGCCAAGGGGGATGAATACTTTTGCAAGGCACTTTACATTACAGCCTGTATGTGTGTTAAAGGACAATACCACTCCAAAATGATTTTTTGGTATTTGTTTAATTAGTACACTGTTGATACAGTCCCAAAATGTTTTGCATGTCAGCAGTCAAGTTCTCAAGATACAGGATTTTCAAGAAGCAAAGTGTCACATGCCACATCATCATGATTATGTGTTTTTCCTTTAACAGTTCTCCCCCGTCTCTCTCTCTAGGTTGGAGCGTCCCTGTTTGCTAGTAATATTGGTAGTGGTCACTTTGTGGGCCTTGCTGGTACTGGAGCGGCCAGTGGAATTGCTGTGGGGGGGTTTGAGTGGAATGTAAGTATAATTTGCCCCCTTAAAATATGTTATTACAGGGTTTCGAGTACACGTGTGACAATACTTTGTAATATGTGCTGATCAGGAAATTGAGATTCTTCTGACATTGGAGCCCTCTTTCTCTACCCAGGCTTTGTTTATCGTGCTCCTATTGGGCTGGCTGTTTGTCCCCGTCTACCTCACAGCGGGGGTAAGTTACACAAGACCATTATATGCCAGCTAACATGGCATACTGGGGAGATTTGTGTCCATTTGTCTGTAATTTCTGCATTTCCGTTGCTTAGGTAATTACAATGCCTCAGTACCTGAAGAAGAGGTTTGGGGGAACCAGGATCAGTCTGTACCTCTCCGTCATTTCTCTGTTTCTCTACATCTTCACCAAGATCTCTGTGAGTCTAGACCAGGGCTCCCCAACCCTGTTCCTGGAGAGCTACCGTCCTGTAGGTTTTTGCTCCAACCCTAATCTAGCGCACCTGATTCTAATTATTAGCTGGTTGATAAGATGAATCAGGTTAGTTACAACTGGAGTTACAGCGAAATCCCACAGGAGGGTGGCTCTCCAGGAACAGGGTTGTAGAGCCCTGGTCTAGGACAAAACTAGGGGGTATTGTTTGTAACATGCTATAAACTTCCCCCACAGTCCTTTATCATTACATTTTCTTCAATATTGATAGTATCTGTGGTATTTCTAAGTCTCCTGAGTTCTGTCATTTGGATTGAGGTATGGAAGGTATTGAGGTATAAACATACCCATGAACCAATCTGACTGTCCTCATCTCTCTCTCCAGGTGGACATGTTCTCTGGGGCTGTGTTCATACAACAGGCTCTAGGCTGGAACATCTATGTGGCTGTGATAGCTCTCCTCTCCATCACAGCTCTGTACACAGTCACAGGTAACATCTGTTTGATCAAATTATACACAAAATGCTTTCATTACTTGTTGTAGAAAAGGCTGTCCACGATTAAAGAGAGGTCATGTTTGGAAAAGATGACCCATAGGAAAAAACAGGGCCTTGAGCATTTTGTCTGTTACCCACGACCCAAATGTAGGGTGTAGGATCATCTAGAGGTGAATATAGACTCATTCTATTTTGTGTGTGTATCCTCCAGTACCCCCAACAGTCAGTACATATTGTTGTGGCCCTGGACAAGCACAGCTGATTCTACTTGTCAACTTATCATCAAACCCTTGACAAGTGGAATCAGGTGTTTTTGTCCAGGGCTACAACACAAATGTGTGCTGTTGGGGGTACTGGAGTTGGGAAACACTGTCCTAGATCAGGGTTTCCCAAACTCGGTCCTGGGGCCCCCCCTGGGTGCACCTTTTGTTTTTTGTCCCAGCACTACACAGCTGTTTCAAATAACCAACTTATCATCAAGCTTTGATTATTTGAATCAGCTGTGTAGTGCTAGGACAAAAACCAAAACGTGCACACAGGGGGGCCCCAGGATCGAGTTTGGGAAACCCTGTACTATATGACCTCAGTAGTTTGTTCATCAACTGGGTTATTGTTGCCTAGTCACCTTACCCCTATACATATCTACCTCCATCACTCCAGTATCCCTGCACATGTAAATATCGTATTGGAACTGACTTTTTAAAATATTTCCTGTATATAGTATGCTTACTTACTTTATTGTGTATTTTATATTTCTTATTTCTAGTGTGCTTTTTTCTAGTAATATATTGTTATTGATTATTGCATTGTTGGGTTTTGAGTTTGCAAGAAAGGCGTTTCAATGTACTTGTGCATGTGACATTGAAACTTGAAACGTATTAATCTGTAATGATCTGTTTTGCTCACTAGGGGGCCTAGCTGCTCTGATGTACACGGACACCGTCCAGACATTCGTCATCATCGCTGGCGCCTTCAGCCTCACAGGTTTCGGTAAATTCAGAGTCCTGTGTCCAGAGTGCCACACATTCCACCTTGTTGACTCCACTTGTTACTCAACGCATGACGGAGTAACAATAAATGGAGACGTTTCTTTATCAGTGCTTAAATGTCGTTTTATGTTTTTTTATTTATTATTTTACCTTTATTTAACTAGGCAAGTCAGTTAAGAACAAATTCTTATTTACAATGACGGCCTACCGCGGCCAAACCCGGACGACGCTGGGCCAATTGTGCGCTGCCCTATGGGACGCCCATTCACAGCCGGTTGTGATACAGCCTGGAATCAAACCAGGGGGTCAGTAGTGACGCCTCAAGCACTGAGATACAGTGCCTTGGACCGCTGCGCCACTCGGGAGCCCCCAAGACCACTGTACTTTTTGTTTATGCACACGTGTATATATGACGTAATGTATAATAACTGATACCAATGCTGTATAGATTGTCATGTATTAAAGATAGTGTACCTCCAAATGAAATACTGTACGATGTTTTGACTGACTGCATTTAGTGTCTCAAAACTCTATTTGAGTGGTCCACAATGTGACTTTTAAAATGTGTATTTTGTATTGTAAACTATTCTATCATTGTGGAGTGACACTTTAATAAATATTTCTAACTCATGACTCAACTGGTCATGATGAATTAGCTGCTGTGTCCAGTGGATGTGTTAGTGCAGCCCTTCCTCACTCACTCACTCCCTTCATCCAACCTCCCTCCCTCCTCTCATCTACCACTTCCTTGATCCAGCTTCACTGTAGACCCACTATAGATCCCCCAGTCCACTCCTCCTGACCTCTGCTCCCTATGTGACATTGTGCGTGTGTCCCTCCTCCTTTCTCTTCCTGTCCTCAGCCTTCTTTGAGGTGGGGGGCTACAATGCTCTGCTGGAGAAGTACAGGTTAGCACTGCCCTCCAAGAATCAGTCCCTGGAGCCCCAGCGCTACAACATCACCCCCCAGTGCTTCACCCCCCGAGACGACGCCTTTCAGCTGCTCAGGGACCCTGTGACCGGGGACCTGCCCTGGCCGGGGGTCATCTTTGGCATCGCCATCGTGGGCGGCTGGTATTGGTGCACCGACCAGGTAAATAAGCTCATAGGAACACAGTGGATGGAATTCATATGTGCGTTTATTTTATAGTGCATTTACTGTAGATGACCCATTCAAAACGGTGATTAGATTTAAGTTGGCACATTGCTGACTCAATCTAATTTGAATGGGTTACATAATGTTGATGTCTGGTCTGCTCATTCTGTTGCTATGGTGTGTGATACTTAAATTCGCTGGATGTGAAACAACATGGATCAGATTGGAAGATTGAATCGTTGGTTGAGTTGATCTGGAATCTTCCCCCATGTCTGTGTGTATAGGTGATCGTGCAGCGCTGCCTGGCGGCCCGCAGTCTGACCCATGTGAAGGCGGGTTGCATCATGTGTGGATACCTGAAACTGCTCCCCATGTTCCTTATGGTGTTCCCCGGAATGATCAGCCGCGTGCTCTTCCCAGGTGAGTTCCCAAAATAAGCCATCATAGGATTGACAAAGAGTTGAATGGAGAGTTTGATCTTTTAGGTTCATCAACAGGGAAACAAGCACAGAGCAAAAAACTAAATAAAAGACAGCTTGTTACACTTTTGATGCCTCTCTCTTTTACCCTGAAGATGTATGAGAGTGTGTGTGTGTGGTGTTCCCTCTCTATTCCTCCTGTCATTATGGTTACAGAGCCTGTCTTCTCTCTGATAGATGAGGTGGGTTGTGTGGTGCCAGAAGTGTGTAAGCAGGTGTGTGGGACGGAGGTGGGCTGCTCCAACATCGCCTACCCCAAACTGGTGGTCTCTGTGATGCCCGATGGTGAGAAGTCTCTCTCCTCTGCTGAACTAGTTGCTCAGATCTGAGTGGCACTTTTACTGTATATATATATTTTTACACACAATTTACTGCGTGCAGTTGTGTGTCGATGGCTACCATGGTTATCTCTCCCATCATCTTACCTTAATCTTCCTCCCCCCTCCCCCTCCATCTCCTCTCTCCCAGGTCTGAGGGGCCTGATGCTGGCGGTCATGCTGGCGGCCCTGATGAGCTCCCTGGCTTCCATCTTCAACAGCAGCAGCACGCTGTTCACCATGGACATCTGGACCCGCTTCAGACCACAGGCCAGAGAGAGCGAGCTCATGGTCGTTGGCAGGTCTGGGCCTTTTTTCCCTTGGTTTACATAGGAAAAACTTGGTTTAGGTAGACAAGTTCAGCTGTCCCAGACCATTTGCTGGAGTAGGTCAATATAATGTATGTTCCAATAAAATGGCTGCCTCACTTACTCTGTCTCTCCCTCTCAGAGTGTGGGTCCTCGTCATCGTAGCCGTCAGTATCTGTTGGATCCCTGTGGTCCAGGCGGCCCAGAGCGGTCAGCTGTTTGACTACATCCAATCAGTGACCAGCTATCTGGCCCCGCCCATCGCCTCAGTCTTCTTCCTGGCTGTGTTTGTGAAGAGGGTCAATGAGCAGGTGAGGTCAGAGGGTGTGTTGTGTTCTACAGTCGTGGTCAAAACGTTTTGAGAATGACACAAGTATTGGTCTTCACAAAGTTCGCTGCTTCAGTGTTATGAGATATTTTTGTCAGATGTTACTATGGTATACTGAAGTATAATTACAAGCATTCCATAAGTGTCAAAGGCTTTTATTGACAATTACATTAAGTTTATGCAAAGAGTCAATATTTGCAGTGTTGACCCTTCTTTTCTCAAGACCTCTGCAATCCACCCTGGCATGCTGTCAATTAAATTCTGGGCCACATCCTGACTGATGGCAGCACATTCTTGCATAATCAATGTTTGGAGTTTGTCAGAATTTGTGGGTTTTTGTTTGTCCACCCGCCTCTTGAGGATCGACCACAAGTTCTCAATGGGATTAAGGTCTGGGGAGTTTCCTGGCCATGGACCCAAAATGTCGATGTTTTGTTCCCAGAGCCACTTAGTTATCACTTTTGCCTTATGGCAAGGTGCTCCATCATGCTGGAAAAGGCATTGGTCGTCACCAAACTGTTCTTGGATGGTTGGGAGAAGTTGCTCTCGGAGGATGTGTTGGGACCATTCTTTATTCATGGCTGAGTTCTTAGGCAAAATTGTGAGTGAGCCCACTCCCTTGGCTGAGAAGCAGCCCCACACATGAATGGTCTCAGGATGCTTTACTGTTGGCATGGCACAGGACTGATGGTAGCGCTCACCTTGTCACAAGTTGTTTTCCGGATGCCCCAAACAATCGGAAAGGGGATTCATCAGAGAAAATGACTTTACCCCAGTCCTCAGCAGTCCAATCCCTGTACCTTTTACAGAATATCAGTCTGTCCCTGATGTTTTTCCTGGAGTGAAGTGGCTTCTTTGCTGCCCTTCTTGACACAAGGCCATCCTCCAAAAGTCTTTGCCTCACTGTGCGTGCAGATGCACTCACACCTGCCTGCTGCCATTCCTGAGCAAGCTCTGCACTGGTGGTGCACCGATCCCGCAGCTGAATCAACTTTAGGAGACGGTCCTGGCGCTTGCTGGACTTTCTTGGGTGCCCTGACGCCTTCTTCACAACAATTGAACCTCTCTCCTTGAAGTTCTTCATGATCCGATAAATGGTTGATTTAGGTGCAATCTTACTAGCAGCAATATCCTTGCCTGTGAAGCCCTTTTTGTGCAAAGTAATGATGATGGCACGTGTTTCCTTGCAGGTAACCATGGTTAACAGAGTAATAACAATGATTTCAAGCACCACCCTCCTTTTAAATCGTCCAGTCTGTTATTCTAACTCAATCAGCATGACAGAGTGATCTCCAGCCTTGTCCTCGTCAACACTCTCACCTGTGTTAATGAGAGAATCACTGACATGATGGCAGCTGGTCCTTTTGTGGCAGGGCTGAAATGCAGTGGAAATGTTTTTTTGGGGGATTAAGTTCATTTTCATGGCAAAGAGGGACTTTGCAATTAATTGCAATTCATCTGATCACTCATGACATTCTGGAGTATATGCAAATTGCCATCATCAAAACTGATGCAGCAGACTTTGTGAAAAGTAGTATTTGTGTCATTCTCAAAACCTTTGACCACGACTGTAGTTACAGAGCAAATTGTTGTGAGAGGGCATAGTTGAGAGAGAGGACATATGGAAAGCATTGGCGATGCAGCCTATGAATGTGAGAGAGACATCTGGGCCCGTATTCACAAGGCAGGACTGCCGATCTCGAATCAGCCCCCCCCCCCCCCCCGTTCATATAACCTTATTCAATATGATCTAAAATGCAAAACTGATTCTAGATCAGCACTCCTACTCTGAGACTCTTTATGAATACAGGCCCAGAACAACTTTTCCTTCTTTGATTACTTTGGTACTAAATTGACATTTCTTTCTTTCAGGGGGCGTTTTGGGGCCTGATGGGGGGCCTAGCTATGGGGCTGTGCCGTATGGGGCCAGAGTTTTGGTTTGGCTCAGGCAGCTGCCTGTTCCCCTCAGACTGCCCCACTCTGGTGTGTGGGGTTCATTACCTCTACTTCGCTGTGCTCCTCTTCTTCTGCACCTCCATCCTGGTGCTGCTTGTCAGCTACTGTACACCGGCCATAGACGACAAACATGTGAGTGCTTGCCTCAACATAGTCTGTTTTATCAAATGCCTGCATCCATATCCATTAGATATCATTAATGCAGGGGAATCTTACCCACTATAATGAGAACTTACTATAAACTCAGATGAATAAACCTATGGTGGTATGCATCTCCCCATCTAATGCTCTGTGAGTGACGTCTGATAGAACTGAACTTCTCTTCTCCTAGCTCCACCGTCTCGTGTTCAGCCTCCGCCACTCCAAGGAAGAGAGGGATGACCTTGACTGGAAGCAGGAAGTGAAGGGGAGGATCGCACGCAGGGAGGCAGAGGAGAAAAGCAGACACAAGTCTGAGGACAGCCCAGGTATGACAGAAACGTACTCCCCCCACCACTACACACACGGCGCAGTCGAGCGGATCAAATCCATGATGCATTGTGGGTAAAGTGACTGACTGATTAGTTATTTATTATGCAAGGTGTTTTGTAGATCAGTCAGTCTTGACTCACCTGCAAAGTCAGCTGCAATGTCTAACAAGCCCATAATATTGTTTTTGATTTCTTTCCTTTGTTAGTGGATGCTGAAGAACCCAAATCTGGTATCTGTCGTATCATTGGCTGGTTCTGTGGCGTCAGCGCCACTCAAGCCCCAGAGCTCACAGAGGAGGAGGTTACTGAGGCGTCCAAAGAGCTGCCCGACATCAGTGAGGAGCCCTTCTGGAAGCATGTTGTTGATGCTAATGCCCTGGTTATGATGGCCGTGGCAGTCTTCCTGTGGGGTTACTATGCATGAGGGGGCTAGTAAAACGGGAATGTGACCATTGATAATTGCACTTTTGGTCATGCTCACTAAATTCTGAATTAAACCAAAAGTGCATGTCATAACTTTCACATACCTTTTGTTAGTGAACACATTACTCAATGTACAAACACGCACACATCTATTCATGAAAAATATAGTCCTGTGTAGCACTTTCTTGTCCCTTTCTTGTAATACGATCATTATAAAAATGCAATTCAAGTTATGAAATTGGGTATGACAACCAATAAACTACACTACTTTGCTAAATCTTTACATTAGCATATACATCTCTCCCCTCTAGTGGCCATATGATGCCATTGCATATATCAAGTGTCACTGTCTTGCTTCAACTTGAGTCATGTGGAAGACAAATCATTTCTAATCTATAAATAAGCAAAATTAAATCAATATAACCAATATTTCAATGTTATCAATAGATTTTCAATTAGGCCTACACTGTAGCATCTTCTCTATCAAAATATAAATCAAGTTACCAACACAAGTCATCATGCAGAAAGAAACGTGTCAGGTGTCATATTCCAGTTTTAATCATTTCTGTTTATTTGAGAAGCACATATTCCCATTAGCATTGTACATCTGAAACCTACAGTGGTCTCCCATACCCAGTCAGAGGGGTCAAGTGAACAAAGTTTTCTATACTGTATTTGTCAAGGTTTTGCAGATTTGGGGAGTGTGAGCGGGACCAGTGGGGTTAAGGCTGGAAGCTGGTGTAGAGAGTTCTATGGTCCGTGTTTCTTTTCACCCGCATTGAAGCAAACAACGGCTTTGGCAAAGACTGCCCTCTGCCGGGAGTTGGGACTGGGGGTTAGTGGTAGTGGGGAGGGGCTAAAAAAATAGAGAGGAAGTGAAGGGAGGTAGAACATAGTCCTCAAAAAACAGGAAAGAACAGCAAACATTCGCTTACACACCAAAAAACAAAAATTGCTAAACAAGCAGTCAAAACCTTTGTACAAAGTGACATCAAATTGCCTTCTCTTGCCCCCACACTGTTAAGAGTCTCATTCATTAAAGTCCCAGTGCAGTCAAAAACGTGATTTTCCTGTGTTTTATATACATTTTCGCACTGAGGTTGGAATTATACTGTGCAATTGTGAAAATGCAAGATAATGTCCTTTTAGTGTAAGAGCTGTTTGAAAACACAGCCTGAAATTTCAGCCTGTTTTGGTGGGATGGATTTTTGGCCTGCCTGGTGTCATCACCAGGCAGTAAATTAGTTAATAGACCAATAAGAAACAAAGAGTTCAAAACCTCTCTGCCAACAACAGCTAGTTTTCAGTATTCCCCTCCCCCAATCAGACCAGTCCCAGACAGTCCTAGCAAAAATTCATGCTTGAGAAATTGCTCTTTGCTAAGATGTTATTTGTTTTTCTTTTTGATCACAATCACAGTAAGGTACTTAATTGTTACCCAGAAATGATTTGATATTGACATAAAAACAGCTGCATTCGACCTTTAAACTTTCACAGACTCCCTCTGTGAGCCAGCCAGTTAGTCCTCAGTGGCTGGCCCTCTGGGCAGTAAGGTTGGGGTCAGCTCCAGTACTGACAGCATAGCTAGGACTTGACTGTCACTTGACCAATAGGCAGAAATGTTGAGCATCAGGCCCCATGCAGCACCATACCATACCACCAGCATGAGCCCACTCATCAGGAGTCCAGTTTTCACATGTACTAACAACCGAGCAGGAAGCTAGTCGACTGCTAAGAACTCAGAACAAGGTGATAGCGAGCAGAGAGAGAGAGAGCTGACAACACAGGAGAGGACCCCAACCCTGGTCTTTAGTGTGCCACCAAGGGGCAATGGGGTCTAGAGGGAGTAAGAGGGGTGCTGGGACCCAGGGCGGGCCCCTTTACCTCCCGTCCTCCCTCTTAGCGCGGGTCTGCACCAGCTCACAGGGCTGCAGTACCCAGTTGTTGTCATGCAGCCCCACGCGGCAGCCCGGTGTGTCCTTGTCCGTGCGCCGGCAGCACATCCAATAGGAGCGTCCATAAGGCAGGTCGTGGTGGTAAGGTTTGGGGTGCCAGCGGCAGAGCGACACGTCGCCCCGTTCGTACTGCCGCTTGCACTGCTTGCAGGGGTCGTCGCGGTACAGCGGGTCCTGGTTCCAGCGCGAGTCGGTGGCGGGCACACCGTACGTCTCAATCAGAACCTTGAAGTCGTAGCAGGTGCACTTGAGGGCGGCCAGCGAGCGGGTGGGCAGGTAGCTGAAGATGTTGACCATGATGTGGTCGGGCAGCAGCAGCATGTATTGACGAGGCTCCAGCAGCCGCTGGATCTGGAAGCGGATCTCCAGGAAGTCGTGAGAGACATGGCGGTAGAGACGGCACAGGGAGGGGTCAGAGCAGTCCTCCACGCCGGCCAGGGGGGAGTCCGGCCGGTCAGCAGCATCCCCAGCAGGACCGTTGTTATTGGCGCAGTCCAAAGAGCACATTCCACTGCTGCTGCCGGTGCCACTGTCCTCGTCAGACCCTCTCTGGGGCTGCAGGAAGAACAGCTGGCCTGGAGGGGGGTCCTCTGAGCCGTCGGCAGGGCTGGCCCCACTGGGTATGGCGAAACACACAGTCTCCTCTTGCACATTCTCTGTGCTGTCCTTGCCATAGAACACACACTGGTCCACAGCACCCGTGACCACCACCTCCACATGGAAGCCAGTCACCCTCTCCCGGGCAACAGGCTTCTTCTCCCCAGAGCCAAGCTCCTGGCTGGGGTCGGGGCTGCTGGAGGCTGGCCGGTCCGTATGGCCCTCCCCATGGGGGTCAGCTTTTGGAGAGCCGGCCAGCAGGAGGCTGGGGTCCCGTGACGAGGGGCTGACCAGCTGGTAGAGATCACAGGTGATCTTCTCTTTGGCCCGGGCCCCCGCCTGCCCCCCTCCTCCCCCACAGCTCATGAACATGCAGCGGGGCCGGCCTGCGGGCTCCGACTGCGAGCGAGGATCCAGGCTGGACACCCGGAAGGCAATCCTCACTTCACCTCGGCCGTGGGTGGGCCCAGCGCTGCCAGAGTCCCCGCTCCGCTCCCTCTCCCTGGGGGAGTCCAGGCCCGAAGCGGGCCTCAGTGTGTTCTCCAGGAGCTGATGCTGGGACTCAAAGTGGGCTACAGCCTGAGCCACACGCCGCGACTCCTGCTCCTCCTCCTCCTCCTCCTCCTCCTCCAGGGCATCATTTGAGGGGTGCGGGGGGTCAGGGCTCTCTGACAGGAATACCATGGGGCTGGGGTCGGAGACTGTGCCCCGCAGGAGTGTGTGCTCGGGGTGTTCTGGGGCCGTCTGTCCCTGGGCCACCATGCCCTGCAGGGCCATGGCTGTACGCTGCTCCACCAGGGCCACCATCTCAGCCACGGACAGCAGGTCAGTCTCACTCACGCCGGGGACGTCCTCTGGGGTGGAGGCCTCTGGGGGCGGGGGGGCGGGGATAACGTTGGTCTGGGCCCGGGCGGGGGGGTCATAGGAGGAGCAGCGGCGCCTACGCTTGGCCTTAGTGCAGTCCGTGGCCCAGTTCCCTTTCACCTTTATGGCACTGGGTCGAGACAGGCCCACCCCACTGAACTGGTGGGCCACGAAGAAGGCAATCTTCTCCTTGGTGTTGCCCGGCTTGATGACGTACCAGGTGTCCAGCAGCACCCTTCCATCCTCCATCTGAGTGGCGCCGGGAGGGGTGGAAGGGGCATGTGGTGCTGAGGCTGGGTCGGCGTCTGGAGGAGTGTTCTCGGAACCGGCATCCTCCTCCTCCTCCTCCTGGCCATCCACGCCTCCTCCGGCCTCCAGCAACGTGCACCCTGCAGTGTCAGCCTTGCAGAGGGAGGGGGTTGCCCCACATCCCCCCGTACCCGTGCTTCGGGGCTTGTTCTGGGAGTAGGTGCCAAAGGGGCGTGGGCACCACAGTCGGATGTGGGAGAAGGTGTCTCTGTCCATCACGGGCCGAAGGGAAGCATATCGGCGGAGTCTAGGCTGGGCATCTGCTGTGCACCACGCCACTCATTCTCTTTGTGCCAACCAGCAGGCACCGCCACGGGAAGAGGGCATACAATCTGTAGGGAGAAAGAGAGGAGTTAGAAAGCAGTATTTCAACATTCAACATCATTATAGGTCATCTAGCTGGGGGAGACAAAACATGAGTAATGTCATTTCATCAAATGTAATTACATTACAAATCTCCTAAAAATGTTAGGGACAATTTCTTCCCATGCATTCTACATGTACCCAAGTCACCTAGTCTAATTCTGTGACATGCTGATTCAGAAGCAACCACTATGGAAGGGTGTGAGAGATTCACTGGATCAAATATTTCACCTTCTAGCCGTTCTTTACAGCAAAAGCACAGCAAATTAAAGGAAAATCAGCTTCTAGCTTCTTGGCAGTTCAGAAACCAAGTCGCAGTGCCCAAGGAAGTGGACTCATGCTTTCAGACAGCCTCAACACCTAAACTCAATTAGTCAAGTCTCTCACCTTGAAGGCTTTCAATCTAATTAAAGGCTTCCATTTCAGGGCCTTGTGTCTGGGGCAGATGAAGGGAGGAATAAAGGAGAGGATTAAGGGAGGTATAAAACGGCAAATGGATTCCCATCCCGACGCTTCAAAGAGGACCTGCCTAATAGGAGTCGAGGAAGAACAAGGAAGGCATATGCCTAGCCTATTTTTAGAAGGGGAGAGTAGTGGAATGGATGTTGCCTGCCAGGCAGAGTCTAAAGGACCTTGGCTGCGGCCTGCAGGAAAACCGTTTACCCAGGGTGCCCGTGCCATTTCATGTTACCCTGCCAAAAATGTGGCACTGGGTGCTTAAGAGGAACAAGTGGCACAAGACTGTTTCAACAAGACCTTTAGACCTCTATGTTTATAAATGTGTCAGTTTTTCATATTATGTTTTTGATGTATTTATGCAGGGCTCATCTGTAAAGAGACCCTAGTCTCAGTACGACTTCCCTGTCAAAAAACAA